GGCATGGAGACCGCCCCGATGATACGGCTCTGGCTGGCAAAGGTGAAGCTCAAAGTCACCGTCTGCGACCAGACCAGAGAACTGACGCGCCCACCTATGTCCGAGGCACAGGCTCTGGTTGGGGTCCCCGCCATCCCGAGGGCTGGAGGGAGGCGTCTGCAGGGCTTAGAGACGCAGCTGTGTCTAGGGAGCCCGGGGAGCCGTGGAAGTCCCAGGGCCTTGCGAGGTGGGGGTGGGGGTGGAGGTTGGAATTGAAAGGAGACAGGTTCTGGAAGGTTGAAGGTTTCGTGGGGTCTCTCACCCACCCCTTCCTCTCGAATACTAGTCACTCCCTGGGACCTGTCCAGGACCCCCGCAGGGACCACACCCCACAGATGCTCACATCAAAGGGCCCGGTGTCCTCCTGTGCACTGAGTCACCTCCAGACGACGAATCAGCCATGTGACATCACAGCCACATAAACTGGTGTCACTCTGCACCGTCCACAGTGACAAGCGTCTGCGTGCCAGCACAGGTGCAGTCGGGGTCTGAGCACTTCTGACCCGCGGCTGGTTGAATCTGGGGTGTGGGGTTTGAGAAGAGGACAATGGGCAAGGTCCAGAGACAGGCTTCAGCTTTCCGGCTGCCAGCACGGGGGGCAGGGGAGATCTGGTCTGAGCTGCGTTCTACACGCGCAGAAGCCGCTTCTCTGAACCCTGCTGAGCGAGCCCCTCCCTCCTGCATTGGATGGGAGTGCGGGCGCTGGACCTGCCCATCTGCAGTGCACACAGCTCGTGGGGCCGGGCTGCACGGTGTGGAGCGGCCAGAGGCCTCCCCGGTGCCGGCTGGAACACGCAGGAACAGGGCGCCTGGATTTCAGCCCCTGCACGTGGAGGTGTCCGTCCCAGCCCTGCAGGGCTGAGCAGGAGAGCATGGGACAGGGCTGTGCGGGCTTTGCAAGTGGCAGTCAGCCCCCAGCACTGAGGCTGAAACGGGCAGGTGCAGAGACTCTGGTGGGGTCCCCAGGGCTGCAGGTGCTGCCTGAGCCTCGAGGCTACTTCTTAAGGGGACAGGGGGTCACCTCGCCCACCCCCACGCACAGAAGTCTTCATCGCCTCTCGTTGAAACAAGGTTTGCTCTTACTCTGTCGCAACAGAGTTCTGCCTCCCGCTTACTGAAGATTTCCCTGGTCTGTGTTGTGTTGTTCCCACTGCAGAGAACTCCAACCGCTAACCAGTGATGAGCGCGCACAGCGTCACGGTGCAGCAGGTGACGCTGCCTTTCGGGGTGCCGGGGTCCACACCCCAGAACCTCTCTTCCGATTCAGCTCCCTAACGCACCCTGGGAGGCAGCAGATGATGCCTCACGTGTCTGAGCCCCTGCCACCCACATGCGGGTCCTGGAAGGAGTTCCGGGATCTTGGCTTGGGCCGGGTCCAGCCCTGGCATTCCAGGCATTTAGGGAGTGAACCAGTGTATGGAACCCCCCAAGTAGACGAAAATAAACAAAACTGATGCCCACACCGGACCTCAACCTACAAACCCAAAGGCACCGCGGCTCTGGGATGAGATGTGGCCTCGTCCTCTTTCTCTTTTCAACACTGAGAACCAAGATGGGAACAAACTTCACGGTGGAGAAGGCAGCCTCACTTCTCTCCCTGGGCAGCTCCGCCCAGCCGGCTCCTAGTGCAGCTGCAGCTCCAGGGCCCCCAGCAGCCCCGGGAGCCTCAGCCAGAAGGCGGGCAGGACACCGGCAGGTAGCGCACAGAACACCTTGCAAGGCCAGCCGGAGAGGACCCTGGAAAACCCCGCTCCAGGGTACACAGCTGAGCTCTGTGCTCACCCTCCCCAAACACGCAGGCTGCACATTCTCAGAGAAACAAATAACAGGAGCAAGGGCCGGAGCCGCCCTTCCAAGGAGGCCCGCCCGCGCAGCCACAGCCGCCCGCCCTCTGAGGGCTGGATTCCAGGCCCTCCCCAGGGCTCCTGGGCGAGGCTCTGGAATGTGCTGGGGTTCCCGGCGGGGCTGTGACAGGCGGTTCCCGCACACAGCCACCGCGCCCGGCCAGCAGCACACACAGCAAAGCCGGCTAGGGCACTCTGGCGCCTGTGCTGGCCGCCTCCTGACCCTCAGTCACAGCCTAGGCAAACAGGAGGTCCCCTGGCCTCCCTCACATGCCACCCAAGCCGCCAGCTCCAGGGCGGACCCATGCCACATGCAGGACCAACCCTGGACTCCCCCCACCCCCAGGGAGGCCGACCACCAGCCTCCTCCAGCTTTGCAAGCGCATCGGGGCGCCTACGCCAGGCTGCAGCGGCAGCTCCGCTCACTGCCCCGCGACTCCACCCCCGTGGCTGCCGGCCAGCATCGTCGCCCACCCTCCAAATGCTGGCGAGTCGCACACAGGCACAGAGAAGCTGTGGGCGCCCAGGAGCTACATGCATACACACACATGCACACACACACACACACGCAAACACATCCACACTTGCACGCACATGCTCCCCGCCTACCTTCCTTCAGAACACCCTGCAGCTGGTCGCCTATGCCACCGGGAGCCCCCGTTTTCCAGCCCCCTATGCTACCGGGGGGGGGCCCGTTTTCTAGCCGCGCCCTGGGGTGGGGGCTGCCGCCTCCCTCCCTGGGCTCTGGACCCTGCTCCTCCAGGCTGCGCACAACGCAAGGCTCACCAGATTCCCACAAACAGGCCAGCGCAATGTAAACACGAGGGTGGAGTCTGGTGAATCAGGTTTAGTGAAATTTGAACTCTGGAGGCAGGAGGCGGGGCCAGGGCTCCTGTGAGAGTCCCCGACCCGACCAGCTGTGCCTTGCCCTGGAGCCGCGAGCGCCGGCACTGCCTGCACACCTCAGGGACCGCTTTGCTGGAAACACCTCGGGACCCGCTTTGCTGGAAACGCTATGCCTCTGGCACACCCCCTGCCTCTGAGCCCCAGAAGCCAGCGCTGGCCGCCTCTGGCCTCCCTGTGCTCGCGCAGGTGGGCTTCAGCCAGCGGCCCGCCCCTGGGCTTCGGCTGACCACTGACCATATGCTTTGCTCTCCCCCCATGGCCAACAGGCGGCGCTGTCCTGATGGCCTCGAGTCCCCCAGCACAACGGGAACCCGTGTCACTGTCACTGCCAATCAGCTGGGCTGCAGATATAGAGGGAAGGGGGCGGGACACACCCCCAGCACAGCACCCAGAACGGCCCGAGAGGCTCCCAGGGCCCCGGGAGGGGGAGAGCCTGTAGAGGCCTCTGTTACCTGTGCTGCTCTGCAGGGAGCCTCCACCGAGCCCCCCCCCCCCCAGGGACCCAAGCCCAGCAGGGAAGGTGGTGAGTGTGACTCATCCCCTGCATTGTTCCTTCAAGGAATACTTATCGAAAGACAGGAGGAAGAGAGATCTGCACAGGGGACAGGGCCTCGCCCAGCAGCCCAGCGAGGGCCCGCGGTGCGGCCTGCCCACAGGACAGCACTCCTGGGAGCGGAGCTCCGCTTCACAAACTTGTGCGAGAGAACCAGCTGAGGCATCAGTGGTGAGCAGGAGCGGCAGATGCACAGACACAAGACCTCGCCTGCCCTGCGTGGGGCTGCCACGAGACAGAGCCACGGGAGCGCAAACCTGCCGGCCACCTTGCAGAGCCCGCCCAACGCCCACGATGTCGGGGGCGCCTGTAGGGTCCCAGCGCTCTGGCTTCCCTCCTCCTGGGAGGCAGGGGAGGCCCGGAGCCTGGGCCTTGGAGACCTGAGGCAAAGCCACACAGGACGATGGGTACCTCGAGGCCACTTCCCGCCATCCCCCGGGTGAGAAAGGTGAGGGGCTACTGACACTGAGGACAGCGCAGCTGGACCCCTCCAGCCCGAGCCCCCACCCAGCACGCTTACACCAACAACCGCCACCCACTGCGGAGACGACGCCCCCCGGCCCCATTATGGCTCCGTGCAGAGGGTGGGCACATCTCTCACCAGGAGGAAGCCACTGGCTTCCGGTCCCCAGCAGCTCCTAAGCCAGGCAACACCAGAACTCGAAGCTTAGCCAACAGCAGCATCAGGCCAGGAAGGGGACCCTCGGGTCGGGGGCTGAGAGAGGCCAAGGAAGGCGTTCCCGGTGCCCAGAGCTGGCCGTCGCCCCCCACCAGCCCGTCACCAGTGACCACGCGCCCATCCCACTGTTCTGCAAGATCCAAACACAGAGCCACATGCTGCTGTGGGCCAGCGAACAGGATGCAGCAAGGGTCCGTGTGTCACACCCTCCATGTGTGACTCCCACCACGCCCAGCTCAGTCACAGCCCCCAGCAGACGGGCGGCAGCCAGAGCCCCGGCCCACGCGATAGAAACAGAATGACCACTGTCACGGCCGACAGCACGGGAGCCCAGATAGCCTCAGGGCCCGCAGCAGCGTCTGACTTCTGGTGGGAATGGCTCCCCTGGGCGCCCGGGTTCCTACAAGGACCACGCTACTTGGGGAGGCCCCTTCAGGCGGCAACCTGTGCACCCCAGACGGTCCCTACCCCCACCCCCCAGCCCCCCGACGTTCACGCAAACTGCTGTGGAAGGCAGCAGAAGACGGCCCAAGTGCACGTGGGAGCCGCGGACAGAACTCGGGGTTCCCGTCTCTGGCCTGACTGTTGCTGGCATTTGAAGAGTGAATCGGTGGCTTCGAAGAGCTCTCTGCCTGTCTCCTGCCGGCCTCTCAATAAATAAATAAAATTAAGTTTTTCACACTGCTAGTAGACAAGCGTTAGAGCGCTCCCAACACAAGGAAACGGGGGTCCTGTCGTGCTCAGCCACGCTGGGCCCCGTGGGCCTCCTCATCGGCATGGCCCCCTCAGTCAGGGCTTCTGTAAAAAGCCTGCCCCAAGTTCTCCAGGCCTGATTCTCCTGAACAAACGCCCTCAAAAGCCACAGAGGGCGCGGCCGCGGGGCCTCTGAGAACACGGGGACCCCTGCCTCAGCACCGCCCGCCCAGCCACGAGCTGCGCCTTCTCCGCCCGCCCGTCCCCTCCTCCTCCCCGCACGCACCTTCTCCGTCTGCACTCAAGTTCTCGTAGGAGTCCCAGCGGATCAGCGGGTCGGCGGTGTTGTAGTCCACGGTCACTCCGTGGTCATTGTGCAGATGCTCAGCGCCTGCTGGGACACGGGGGAAGCATCAGCGTCCGGGACGGCGGCACCGCCACCCACCTGGGCTGGCCCGAGTGCCACTTCTGCGAGACAGAGCCTGGGTCACTTCAGAGGCACCTCGAGCTTCAGGACCGGCCTGCATCCGGGCTCTGGGCGCCCCAGCCAACCCCCGCCCAGGAGGCTTCTGGACACCACAGCCCCCACCTGCATCTACAGAGAGCCGGGGCCAGCAACCGTTTCCCATCCGTCTCAGAAGGGCCTGCGGACGGAGCCGTGGCAGCACCCAGACCACAGGGCTGACTTCTTCCCAAATGCACTCCTGTGACCGACGAGGACTTGTCTGCCCCGAGCCGTCTGCGGCTACGCGACCACCAATCCCCTGCACGCAGTGCCGGGACACCACGCCCCCGGGGTCTGACGGCCACAGCGGGCCTCAACGTGTCCTCCCTCCTGCGCTTAAACATTTGATTACAAAACACACGCGGAGGTGAGAAACTCGCACAGCACTCCAGGGTGCCCGTCACACCTCAGCCAGTGCCCACCTGCGGCCACCCACACCGCACCGGGCCAGTGCCCCCCTGTGCCTGCACCCCACACTGTACTCACATCCCACCTTGGCCAGTGCCCCCCTGTGCCTGCACCCCACACTGTACCCACCCGAGTCCACACCCCACCTTGGCCAGTGCCCCCCTGTGCCGGCACCCCACACTGTACCCACCCGAGCCCACACCCCACCCTGGCCAGTGCCCCCCTGTACCCACACCCCACCCTGGCCAGGGCCCCCCTGTACCCACACCCCACCCTGGCCAGGGCCCCCCTGTGCCCACACCCCACCTTGGCCAGGGCTCACCTGGGCTCACTCCCCACCTGCAGCCAGTTCCCCACTGTGCCTGCACCCCACACTGTACCCACCCGAGCCCACACCCCACCCTGGCCAGTGGCCCCCTGTGCCTACACCCCATACTGTACCCACACCCCACCTTGGCCATTACCCCCCTGTGCCAGCACCCCACACTGTACCCACCTGTGCCCACACCCCACCTTGGCCAGTGCCCCCCTGTGCCTGCACCCCACCTTGGCCAGGGCTCACCTGGGCTTACTCCCCACCCTGGCCAGTGCCCACCTGTGCCGGCACCCCACACTGTACCCACCCGAGCCCACACCCCACCCTGGCCAGTGCCCCCCTGTACCCACACCCCACCCTGGCCAGGGCCCCCCTGTGCCTGCACCCCACACTGTACCCCACACTGTGCCCACACCCCACCCTGGCCAGGGCCCACCTGTGCCGGCACCCCACACTGTACCCACCCGAGCCCACACCCCACCTTGGCCAGTGCCCCCCTGTGCCGGCACCCCACACTGTGCCCACACCCCACCCTGGCCAGGGCCCACCTGTGCCGGCACCCCACACTGTACCCACCCGAGCCCACACCCCACCCTGGCCAGTGCCCCCCTGTGCCGGCACCCCACACTGTACTCACACCCCACCCTGGCCAGTGCCCCCCTGTGCCTGCACCCCACACTGCACCCCACACTGTATGCACACCCCACCCTGGCCAGGGCCCCCCCGTGCCCACATCCCACCCTGGCCAGGGCACACCCGAGCCAACACCCCACCCTGGCCAGTGCCCACCTGTGCCTGCACCCCACACTGTACCCCACACTGTACGCACACCGCACCCTGGCCAGTGCCCCCCTGTGCCTGCACCCCACACTGTACCCACCCAAGCCCACACCCCACCCTGGCCAGGGCCCCCCTGTGCCTGCACCCCACCCTGGTCAGGGCCCACCTTGCATTTTCTCGGGCGATGCTGAGAACACCAACTCCACCTTTCCGTAGTCAGGGAAACGGTCATCTGAGAAGAGAAGCCGCGTGTCAACCCCGCGGAGCTGCCGGACCCCAGAGCCGGGGCTGACCCTGTCCTCAGGTCCCGCCCAGCACGGCGCCAAGCCCCGGGCCCAGCGCAAACACGGAAGCAGGGAGCGCGGTCCTGGGCTCGTGGCTCTGTCATTTCCCCTGGATGGAGTCCCCTGCCCCGGGGAGGGGCCGTGACGCAAGCAGGTGCGGGAGAGCGCAGGGCCCCCCCCCCCCCGCGTGCCGCTGGGCCGCCCCTCACCTCTGCAGGCGCCGTCCAGCTCCTCCTTCCCAAACAGGAGCCTGTAGCCCTGCACGGCCCCCGTGTGGAACTGCAGCCGGAAGATGACGTCCCGCGTGGCCGAGCGCTGCTTCTTGTGGTAGCACTTCACCTGGGGAGACGCAGACGGCCGCTGAGCACCACATGGGGTGGGGCTCCGCAGGGGAGGGGCGGGCGGTGGGGCAGCTCCTGCCTGGGCTGGGACTGCGACCCTAGGGGCTGCAGGGCCACAAGGATCACACAGGACCACGGCCCCCGGCCCCCAACCCCGTCAAGGTGCTGTGTGGGGAACACGGGACAGGGGGCTGGGGTGGCCGCCGCCTCCCGTTCTGTCTCTCCCAGCCTCAGTTCTCTGTGAGCAGCAGGAGCCTCTCCCTGCCACCTGCTGGGTGCCAGGCGCAAACTGGGATGGAGAGAGGAAGGAAGGCAGAGACTGGGCGGGAGGGAGACAGGTGGGCACTGGTGTTAAGTTCCGGCGCCTGGCCGCCCACAGCTGCCGTGCTGAGTGAAACCCTCACACTGGTAGGGTCGGAATGCGAGCTGGAGCCCTCTAGGCCTGGGAGCCGGGAGCCCACTGGGTCCCTGGGGTGTGCTCTGGGCTCCCAGGTGGCCATGCTGATGGGCGCGGTGCAGGCAGCACTCGGGAGGGGTTGGGCGGAGCCCCGGGCGTCCTGTCCCACCCGACACCTGGGGCCTCCCTGCCACAGTGGGGAGTGGGGATGCTCTCTCTCAGGGGGCCCAGACTCTGCCCTCAGCTCACACGGTGCACGGCGGGCACGGCACCCCCAGGAGGTGGGCACACAGCTGGTTTCACTGGAAGAGCAGAGGGCTGGACGGGTCAGTGAGAAGCGGGGCCAGCAGCATAGGACAACGGTGAGGTCCCACCAGCCAGCAACCAGGAAGTCGTCCAGGGAGGCGGGGCCTGCCCTCGGGAGGCCCTGTTCACCTCTGTCTTGGCTGACAAACACGTGAGCTGTGTCAGACACCTGCAGGGTGTCCCAGCTCTGCCAGGTGAGGGCCTGCGGCTGCAGACCCAGGCCCGCCCCAGGCAGCGAGAACTGGGAGAAAGGGCAGGAGTGAAGCCCTCTCCCAGCGCTGGCCTCGGACACCCTCAGGGCTCCACCAAGGGTCACCCTCCCAGTGTTCTTCCAGAATGTTCTGAGCACGTCCCTCCCACCTCTGGGTCCTGGGCCCCAGAATCACCCCAGCAACCAGGCCACGTACACGTCCACCTGCCCCCACCTGCCTTCTCATGGTGGGCTTGACCGGGGCGTGACCAGGAGAGCCCACAGCAAGGACAAGGAAAAGTGGCCTTGACCCAAGCCAGCCTCAGCCCCGAAGTTCACAGTCAGGGGAACCGAATGTTTGAAAAAGAGCAACGAGGTCTCAGGGAGCTGGCAGCAGGTGAGGAGGCGGCCCCGGCCCACCCCTCACAGGCACGGCAGCAAGTTCCAGTCTAATACCAGGAGCAGTCAAGGAGGGCTTCTCAGAGGAGGAGGACCTGTGGGCAGGGGAGGTCCCCAGGGACAGGTGCACATGGGGGCCCCCACGGTGTTCTCCCTCCTGCAGCTGCACCCCACCCTCACAGCTCCCCCCCGGGGCCCTGTCCTGTGTCCCGGCTGCAGCCCCACAATCTGGGAGACTGGGAGGGAACCCCAGCCCCTGCACACAACAGGAGGCTGTGTGAGCACCGTGGCCCAGGTGGGGCACAGGTGCCTCCCCAGGTCCAGGGCGGTCTTCAGCGCGGCGTCAGCAGTGGAGGAGTTGGGTTCCAGCCTGACGCCATGTGACGAGGCCGCCCTGTGCCCGGGTCCCGTCACCGGCTCTGACGGGCCCTTGGGTGCTCTCGCAGGCACCGACGCCGCCGCCCACCACCTGGAACCTGGGGTTCTCAGCAGTGCCCACCCGCACGGCGGGTCAGAGGCCCACCCCCCACCAGGACCCTGCCTCGGCCGCCCCTGGCGCCCTCCAGGGAACCCCACCATTACTCAGCACCCACACCCATGCTCCCAGCAGCACGGCCGACAGGAAAACGGCCCACACTGCAGAGGCGTGGTCCCAAGGCCTCCCTCGGAGACACAGAGTGACGCCAAGCCTTCCCAGAGCCCGGGGCGTCTGCCGAGGTGTGGAATGTCCCCTGCAGCCGTTCCACCTCAGCACCTGGTTGGCCCGGGCCTCCAGGATGTTTCCAGGATGTTTCCAGACTGTGCTGGCCTCCGCCTTCGGGGCCTGGAGTTCCTGTACTGTGAACAGAGCTGCAGCCCTGCTTTCGGTAGCCCGGCCAGGGGGCCGTCACGGGGCCCACGGCGCGGACCCCCGGGGACCGGCATGGACGCGGCAGGTCCTGGGCAAGTCACAGCCCCTGACTGCACACTGCACGCCACAGCATCGGCCTCTTTGTTTTGCTGGAGAAAAATGACAGAAGGCCGTGGTCTGGGACTAACCCCACCCCCACCCCCACCGCCCCGGGTCCCAGCAGAGGAGCCTCAGAATCAAGTCACTGACACTCAAGTTCCCAACCAAACACCAAACCAAAGCGAGGCTGTGAGCTCACTGTCCGGGAAGCCAGGAGAAGCAGACGGCCAGGTCTCGCAAGCAAGGCTTCCTCTGCGCTAACCCCGGGGAACGCACCCTGCGGGCTGGCGTGGTGGCGTGGTGGCGCAGCCGCGGGAGCCGTGGCTTGTGACGCAGGCATCCCGATCTCACCGCCACCTGAGCCCAGTGAGCCCAGGCCGCTCTGCTTCCCATCCAGCTCCCTGCTAACGCACCTGGGAAAGACGGCCCAAGTGCCTGGCCCCTGACACCACGTGGGAGACCCAGATGGGGCTCCTGGCTCCTGGCTCTGGCTTGGCTGAGACTTGGCTGTGGTGGGCATTTGGGGAGTGAACCAGCAGATGAAAGATCTCTGTCTCTCCCTCTCTGACGCTCTGCCTCTCAAAGCAGAAGCCAGAAAAGTAGCCTGGTGCTAATGACAGCTAGGTTCTCTCCCCAGGCTCTCGGTCCACCCCACGTGGAAATGAGCAACCCACATTCAGCGCTCTGCTGGTTGGTAAAACCCAGCACTTCCTCTCTCCACAGAGAAGTGCTGCCCCAGTCAGAGCCCCAGAACAAATGATCAAGATTTCCGGGTTACAACTGTCCTTGAGCAGCTCCAAAGATCAGTGGGCACCGCCTATCAGCAGCCACACGGGCTGTCTGCCGGGGCAGAGGCACCTGCCACTTCAGAGTCCACAGAGAGGGTCTCTGTGCTCACAGGTGTGGCATAGGGAGGAGCAGGGATGGGGGGAGGGCCTGCCTGCAGCCCTGCACCCCCGGAGTGCAACAGAGCGATTCAGGGACCTTGGCCCCAACTGACTTCCTAATGGTTGCCCTTGACAGAACTCCAGTTGGGGGCGACTGGGACCCAAGCCCACCGTGAGCCCTTGTGCCCCCGGAGTGCCCTAAGACACAAGGCAGGCACGTGGAATTCCCACGCAACAGAGCTACACGTCAGACCCGGATCTGCTCACAGGCACCGAGACCTGCTCTGACTGCCAACTCTCCATCAGCAGGACAAGCACCTTGGGCCACGGGGGTTGCAGCAAAGGCCGCCCCCAGGGACACCCGCCCCCAACTCAGCGAGACCAGACCGGGCCTCCTCCGCTGTGCCAGTCACCACTGGGGGCAGCCCCAATTCACCTGCAAACTTCCCCCAAATTATCTAAGCAGAGCACGCAGGGCCCTAAAGCACCCGGTAGCAGAGCCAGCCACACCCGCTCACGCCTCGCCGGAGGCCCTGGTGCCTGTCTAAACAGGGCTGCTGTGACCCTGCCCTCAGGAGCTAAATCACACGTGTGATGGTTCCAGGACAGCGTGGCTCACAGTCACAGGGCCAGCACCAGCCATGACCGCCCCCGGGCTGAGCAGGATTTCAGAGGCCCAGTACTGGGGCTCCTGACCCAAAGCCACATACGGCTGGGCGAAGGCCGGCCGAGAGTAAATACAGATCCGCATCGGCTGTGCGAAGTCTGGGGGACTCAGGGGACCGGAGGGAGGAAGAGGACCAGAGAACTTTCCGCAAGGGCACGGGGAGCCCTGGGAGCCCCCGTTCTGGACCGGCTTGTCTCAGAAGCATGGCACCATTTTCGTGGCAGCCGTTGGAGGGAGGTCACAAAGCGGCCACCGTGAAGACGGGACCAGCGGCCGCGGGGTTGCCCAGGCAGGGGCAGCAAGATCGAGCAGGCCAGGCAGAAAAGCGTGCTGGGGCCCGGAGGGAGCAAGCAGGGGCCAGGCCCAGGGCAGCCGCCAGCTCTCGGCAGGCCTGCTGCCGGCTGCGTTCCTGAGCCGGGTTACGTAACGGCTCACCACCGTCCCTGGCCACTGTGCAGGCCCCACCCCTCTGGAGCACAGAGACTCATTCACTGCACCGCCCAGCTCCACAGTGACCACCTGCACGTCACCGCCTGGACAGCTGGACATGAGCTCGGCCTGCGCGTGGTTCCCTGTCACGTCCAATGCACCACCACCTTCACGCCCTGGCTTGGTCACTGCCCACCAGGGAATGCCGGGACAGATGCCTGCGGCCCTGGCCTCACTGGCACTCGCCCCCAGGAGACATTCAGTCACTGGACAGAGGTGGCGGAGACTGGGTCGTGTCCCCCACCCCCATCCCCCTTGATTCACAGCCTGAAGGAGACGGGGCCTTCGCAAAGGGAAACTGTTTCAAAAGGAGGCTGTGGGGCGGAAGCCACCGAGCTGCAGCCGGGGTCTCGCGGGACGAGGTCAGGACACGGCACACGCAGGGACGGACGTGTGAGGACTCAGGAGCGAGGCCCGGGGAGCCCGGCCCTGCCCACACCCCGACCCTGACACCAGAATCACTCGCTTTTTCTGCTGGGTTTGGACCCCGGGTGTGTGGGGAGGAGGCCTGGGCACTCACCATGACGTCCCCCTTCAGCAGCTGGGCCGGCTCCACCGCGAGACAGATCCTGCCTGGGTTCTCTGGGCCCACGTTGCTTCGGGACACACAAGAAGGTCGCACATCAGGGCCGGGCCACACACACACGCAGGCCAAAGCGCGTCCCCAAGAACCCAGAACCCCTCCCTGCCCACCACCCCACTGACGCGAGTCCCAGGGGCTCCAGGAAGCCCCACACAGGGGGCTTCTCCCAGAAGCCTGGGCCACGGCCGGCGAGCTGTGACCAAGCCCCAGCCACGGGCCACGGCCGGCGAGCTGTGACCGAGCCCCGGCCACAGGAGCCGGGGGGTGGGGTCCAACGTGAACCCTGCACAAGCCGACGTCAAGCAGGTCATCTTGAGTGGTGAGAACGTTAGCTCTGCACATTGACCCACAAAGGCCAACAGGCAAAGCCCAGGGACCCTCACACCTGCGGGGACGTGCGTCTACTTCTCGTCTAAAATACAAAGACGGGCAGGGCCTGGCCTGGCGGTTAAGCCACCGGTTAGGGTGCCTGTGTCCCACGTCAGAGTGCCTGGTTCTGGCCCTGGCTCTGCCTGAGGCCATTCCTGCTGAAGCAGACCACGGGAGGCAGTGGTGACGGCTCAAGGATGGAGTTCTTGCCACACACGAGGGAGACCTGGACGGGGTGCCCGGCTCCCAGCTTTGGCCCAGGCCTAGCCCCGGTTGCACAGGCACTCGGGCAAGGCCCCGGCACTTACTGGATGGCTGAGGTGTACACGGGCTGCATGGCCTGGTAGAGCTTCAGGAAGGGCCGGCAAGCTGGAAGAGAACACAGGCGAGGGGAAGCCGTGGGTGGAGAAGGCACGGGGGCCGTGCAGGCAAGGGCTCAGACGGCGCCTGGCCACCAGCAGGCCCCGCCGCGGGCCTGAGGCTCAGGGACTGGCACCTGGGGTCTGACGTGCTCCTACGGGAGCCACAGGAGGCCGTCCTGCAGGCCAGGCCCGGTGCTCCCCAGAGGACGGCGAAGGTGTGGGGCAGTGGGCCAGGCTGTCCCCCAGCCACGTGGCAGCCCATCAAGGCCACAGCGGCCAAGAGGAGGAGCAGCCCTGAAGACGAAGCACCTGCTCAGGACTGAGGAGAGGCTGGGCCTGACCCTTCCGTGCTGCGTGGCAGGAGACGGGGTCATGAGAAGAACTGGGACCAGGCCCTCTGCTGCTGTCCCCACAGGGCCATGGGCCAGGATGACAGGGGTCCTCGTGATGCCCTCTCTGGCCGTCCTGGTGCTCGTGGGACTCAGCCCACGGCTGGGGAGCCTAGGGGCGGGCCGGGAGCCGGGTGCTGCCGCGGGGGACCGGGGCGAGAGCCCTGGAGACACTCACCTCCCCCCGCGTCGAAGCTGGGGGTGCCGTGCAGGACCACGCAATGCAGGAAGAGGGGCGAGGCGTTCATCTTCACGGCGCCGGACAGCAGCCCGCTGAGAAACTGCACGTAGCTGCAAGGAGAGCCGCTCAGGGCCCCAGCCACGGGCGGGGGTGGGCTCCGGCCGCATCCCACACGCCAGCACCAGGACAGGGCACAGCAGCCTCCTGGGGTGAGCGCCCCACCCTAAACCCCATGCCAGACACCGTCAGGGCGACCGGGCCCAACCCCAAGTCCACTCAAGGTTCCATGTGCCCCGCAGGAGCCCACTGCACGCCCCTCCTACGTCCACCTCCCACGCCGCAGCCAACGGCAGAGACTCTGACCTCCGTCTCCTGCTGGGCCGCGGCCCCCCTTGGTGGACCAGCTCCGAGGCTGAGGCTACACCTGCAGCAGGCCTGGACGGCGCCACTGCTCTCTGAGCGGCAGGGGGCAGCCCCCCGCCCACGCAGACTGCGCCCGTCTCCCTCGTGCATTTGCTGGCCAAAGGGGAAGCTCCTACACCAGGGGCCCCACGAGGCAGTGCCTGCGTCACGGTGTAGACGGTTTGAGTTCCCCAGACACTCAGCTCTGGAAGCTCAGGCCCCAGTGTGCCAGTGTGGAGGCGGAGGGAACTTCGAGAGGCACGGCCCCGTAGGAAGTGGAAGGTCACGGGCCCCCACCTCAGCAGGGACTCATGGGGACCCCAGTGCGTTCCCGCGAGTGGGTCACGGGATGGGAGTCTGGAGCAGCAGGGGACGGCTCGAGCGTCAGTCCCTGCCACTCTCATCAGGAGCGAGGACGCGGCTCCTGGCTCCCGGCATCGCCAGGCTCCGTGCTGACAGCAGCAGGCATTTGGGAAGTGAACCAGCAGACAGGAATCTCGCTCTTGCTCTCCCAGAAATTAATTAGTGAAAAATAAAATAAGGCAGATTATTCTGAGAGCATGCCTGGCCTCGGGGTCCCTCCGGCCTCCTGGTTTAGCCCCGCGCTCTCGTCTGACACGACACTGCTCACCACCAGCTCGCCAGAGCAAACGCACGGAGCTCTGCACCTGGGAGCTGAAAAACTTCCTTCCATTGCAAAGCACCGGGCCTGGGTACTCACATAGTAACACAGTACTCTCAGTACTCTCGACAGCCACACGGTACTCTCAGCACTCACACAGCAACATAGTACCCTTGGTACTCACGACACCCACACAGTACTCTCAGTACTCACGACAGCCACACAGTACTCTCAGTACTCACGACAGCAGCACAGAACTCTCAGTACTCACAACAGCCACACAGTACTCTCGGTACTCACGACGGCCACACAGTACTCTCAGTACTCACGACAGCCACACAGTACTCTCACATGCTGGCGCCCGTGCCTCCGCCCCGCCTTCCTGCACACCCCGACTGGCACCTGCCCTGAGCTCCCTGCTGCACTGCTGCACCACACGGCCTCCTCACGTGCACGCCGTGTGCTTTCCTCTCCATCGGAGTACTGCAGCCTTTGCAAGGGGAAAAATTAAACAGCCAACCCCCCAAACACAGCACCTCGGCAAATCTCGGACCCCCAGGGCGGATCTAACAGGGAGCAGTGAGTGAGTGCGGCCAGCACAGGGCCTCACGCCTCCTAGGCAGTAATGGGCAGCAGGAGGGACCCACGCACGCGGGAAAAAACATCTCTCACGTACACCAGCAACGCACACCAGTCCCTACCCCAGCAGCTGAATTTGTGCAAGACGCAAATGGAACGGAGGGAGCTTTGGGCAAACATCGAGAAAACACAGCTGCAGCCCTGCTCCAGAGCGACCTCCAGGGGAGCGGCAGGAGGGAGCAGATCAGGGCCAGCGCCTGTGACACGGCGTCCCACATGGGCACCAGTTCGCATCCTGGCTAGTCCAGCTCCCTGCTGCTGTGCCTGGGAAAGCAGCTGAGGACGGCCCAAGTGCTTGGGCCCCTGCATGCAATGGGAGGCCTGGATGGAGCTCCTGGCTCCTGGCTCCAGCCTGACTCAGCCCTGGCCATTAAAGCCATTTGGGGAGTGAACCAGCAAATGGACAATCACTCTGTCTCTCCTCTCTCTGTAACTCTGCCTTTCAAATAAATAAATCTTAGACAGACAGACAGACAGACAGAAAGAAAGAAAGGAAAAAGAAAAAGAAAAAGAAAAGAACAAGGCACAGTTTCCCTCTTCCCGGTGGCAAAATGCTCTCTCCACTTGCAGGTGAGTGGCAGAGCCCCCAGGTCAGCACGGAGACCCTGCCCCCCCCAGGTCCGCTGACCCCCAGGGGCGTTTGCTGAGAACAAGGCTCTGGGCCTGTGTGGTGGGAGGAGGCAGGGGAGCGGCTGACAGATTCCTTGGCTCCCTGGTGTGTAAGGAGATAAAGGAACCACCACAGGTATCTGCCCTGGGGGCCGAGTCACCACTTTCCATGCAGTTCTTCCCTTCCAGCAGCCCAGGGGGGCCTAGCCTAGCACGGTGACCTAGCACAGTTCCGCAGGGACCAGCCGGAGCCACCAGGGGGGAGCCAGAGCTTGCTCTGTGTTCTCCTGCAGGTCCGTGGCCTCTACAGGGAGGGGCCCCCGCAGGGCTCCCTCTGGGTGACCCCCAAGCAGGGCCACAACCTGTGAGGGGGACACAGCCTCTGTCCCAGGCTCTGTCATGCAGCCCCTATGGCTGTCACAGTCACCCCCATCACAGCGTGGACGAGCAGACGGGAGGGTCTGGGTGCAGGCAGACGAATTCTGTCCCCACCAGCTCCCAATGAAGAGGACGCCACAGCCACTCGGGCCAGAGGGAAGGGAAGGGGGCTACCCGCTGGCCCCGGGGACTCTGGGAGACGCCTTGCCGGTCCACAAAGCTGCTCAGTTCTTAGTGTGACCAGCAGAAAACAACACTGCCAGAGAGAGCCCCAGGAGTCGAGTGCCCGGAGTCGAGATCCAGGAGTCGAGCCCCAGGAGTCAAGCCCCAGGAGTCGAGCCCCAGGAGTCAAGCCCCAGGAGTCGAGCCCCAGGAGTCGAGATCCAGGAGTCGAGCCCAGGAGTCAAGCCCCAGGAGTCGAGCCCCAGGAGTCGAGTGCCCGTAGTTGAGCCCCGGGAGTCGAGCCCCAGGAGTCGAGCACCAGGAGTCGAGCCCAGGAGTCGAGCCCAGGAGTCGAGCCCCAGGAGTCGAGCACCAGGAGTCGAGATCCAGGAGTCGAGCCCAGGAGTCGAGCCCAGGAGTCGAGCCCCAGGAGTCGAGCCCCAGGAGTCGAGCCCAGGAGTCGAGCCCAGGAGTCGAGATCCAGGAGTCGAGATCCAGGAGTCGAGCCCAGGAGTCGAGCCCCAGGAGTCGAGCACCAGGAGTCGAGATCCAGGAGTCGAGCCCAGGAGTCGAGCCCAGGAGTCGAGATCCAGGAGTCGAGCCCAGGAGTCGAGCACCAGGAGTCGAGCCCAGGAGTCGAGCCCCAGGAGTCGAGCCCAGGAGTCGAGCCCAGGAGTCGAGCACCAGGAGTCGAGCCCAGGAGTCAAGCCCCGGGAGTCGAGCCCAGGAGTCGAGCACCAGGAGTCGAGCCCAGGAGTCAAGCCCCGGGAGTCGAGCCCAGGAGTCGAGCACCAGGAGTCGAGCCCAGGAGTCAAGCCCCAGGAGTTGAGCCCCAGGAGTCGAGCGCCGGGAGTCAAGCCCCAGGAGTCGAGCCCCGGGAGTCGAGCCCCGGGAGTCGAGATCCAGGAGTCGAGCCCCAGGAGTCGAGCCCAGGAGTCGAGATCCAGGAGTCGAGCCCCGGGAGTCGAGATCCAGGAGTCGAGCCCAGGAGTCGAGATCCAGGAGTCGAGCCCCAGGAGTCGAGCCCCGGGAGTCGAGCCCCGGGAGTCAAGCCCCAGGAGTCGAGCCCAGGAGTCGAGATCCAGGAGTCAAGCCCCAGGAGTCGAGCCCCAGGAGTCGAGCCCCGGGAGTCGAGATCCAGGAGTCGAGATCCAGGAGTCGAGCCCAGGAGTCGAGCCCAGGAGTCGAGATCCAGGAGTCGAGCCCAGGAGTCGAGCACCAGGAGTCGAGCCCAGGAGTCAAGCCCCAGGAGTCGAGCCCAGGAGTCGAGCACCAGGAGTCGAGCCCAGGAGTCGAGCACCAGGAGTCGAGCCCAGGAGTCAAGCCCCGGGAGTCGAGCCCAGGAGTCGAGCCCCGGGAGTCGAGCCCCAGGAGTCGAGCCCCAGGAGTCGAGCGCCGGGAGTCAAGCCCCAGGAGTCGAGCCCCGGGAGTCGAGCCCCGGGAGTCGAGATCCAGGAGTCGAGCCCCAGGAGTCGAGCCCAGGAGTCGAGATCCAGGAGTCGAGCCCCGGGAGTCGAGATCCAGGAGTCGAGCCCAGGAGTCGAGATCCAGGAGTCGAGCCCCAGGAGTCGAGATCCAGGAGTCGAGCCCCAGGAGTCGAGCCCCAGGAGTCGAGCCCCGGGAGTCGAGATCCAGGAGTCAAGCCCCAGGAGTCGAGCCCCGGGAGTCAAGCCCCAGGAGTCAAGCCCCAGGAGTCGAGCCCCAGGAGTCGAGATCCAGGAGTCGAGCCCAGGAGTCGAGCCCCGGGAGTCGAGCCCCGGGAGTCAAGCCCCAGGAGTCGAGCCCAGGAGTCGAGATCCAGGAGTCGAGATCCAGGAGTCGAGCCCAGGAGTCGAGCCCCGGGAGTCAAGCCCCAGGAGTCGAGCCCAGGAGTCGAGCACCAGGAGTCGAGCCCAGGAGTCAAGCCCCAGGAGTCGAGCCCAGGAGTCGAGCACCAGGAGTCGAGCCCAGGAGTCAAGCCCCGGGAGTCGAGCCCAGGAGTCGAGCACCAGGAGTCGAGCCCAGGAGTCAAGCCCCGGGAGTCGAGCCCAGGAGTCGAGCACCAGGAGTCGAGCCCAGGAGTCAAGCCCCGGGAGTCGAGCCCCGGGAGTCGAGCCCCAGGAGTTGAGCCCCAGGAGTCGAGCGCCGGGAGTCAAGCCCCAGGAGTCGAGCCCCGGGAGTCGAGCCCCGGGAGTCGAGATCCAGGAGTCGAGCCCCAGGAGTCGAGCCCAGGAGTCGAGATCCAGGAGTCGAGCCCCGGGAGTCGAGATCCAGGAGTCGAGCCCAGGAGTCGAGCCCAGGAGTCGAGATCCAGGAGTCGAGCCCCAGGAGTCGAGATCCAGGAGTCGAGCCCCAGGAGTCGAGCCCCAGGAGTCGAGCCCCGGGAGTCGAGATCCAGGAGTCAAGCCCCAGGAGTCGAGCCCCGGGAGTCAAGCCCCAGGAGTCAAGCCCCAGGAGTCGAGCCCAGGAGTCGAGATCCAGGAGTCGAGCCCAGGAGTCGAGCCCAGGAGTCGAGCGCCGGGAGTCGAGCCCCGGGAGTCAAGCCGAGGAGTCAAGTCACAGAGATGACGGACAGCGAAGCGGGCTGCAGTCAGCACGCGTGAACCTGGGAGCCACGCTCAGCGCCCACGAAGAGAGAATCGGGCCACGGGTGGAACAGGAGGAAAAGACCCTGGTCAATGTTGCCAATACAGTGATCAGCCTTGGTGCTGAAGGCAGGAATGAATGAATGAATGAACAAACGAACAAACGAGCGAGCCCGTCAGTGACCGGGCCTGGCTGCAGGCCACCCCGAGAGCCTCACAGGAAACAGAAACCTGAGCAGCAGCACAGCTCAGACGCCGGACGCGTCGTCCACAAGCCCCGTGCGCCCAGGGCGGCTTCTCTCTTTTCGAGAAGTTATCCCTCCCGTGCCTCATCCCAAGCTAGAGAGAAAGTTCTGGAAAGCAAAAGGTGGCTTTAAGACATCAGGACCAAACACAGGGCACTGGCTGCACGCAGTCCTGGGCGCGGTCATGGCCTTCACAGCCCCTTCTGAAGGCAAAGCCCGCGGCAGGCGTGTGGTGCAGCTGGTTAAGCCACCGCCCAACCACCGGCAGCTCATTCTGGAGCAACGGGTCAAGACCAGGCAGCTCCACGGCTGATCCAGCTCCCTGCTATTGGCCTGGGAAGACGGTGCAGGTGCCTGGGCCCCCATGTGAGAGACCCGCATGCAGTTCCTGGCTTCTGGCTTCCGTCTGGCTCAACCCTGGCTGTTGCAGCCATTTGAGAAACGAACCAGCAGACGGAAGATCTGTCTGTCTCTCTCTCTCTCTGTAACTCTGCCTGTCAAAAGCAAACACCACTTTCTATGCAAAGAGCCCACGGTGACAGGAGCTCTGCCCACAGCTGCTACCACACCTGAGGCATTTACACCTGGCTATGGCCACAGGCCAGGCACAAGCCGGCTGAGAAATGCGAAGTGGAACAGCTGGGCTCTGCAGGGGGAGCCGCACTGGGCAGGCGGCTCAGGTTCCTGAGCACCCCTGACCTGCACTTTGAGACAGCTCCACGGCATGCAAGGAGGGTGGGGGTTGGTGGCGACCATGACCCCTGTTCTCCGTGGGACACTGCCAGACAGCACGTGGCCACAGGGTCAGTGGGGACAGCCATGCCGGGTCCCAAGACACAGCTTGCTGGGGAAGGTTCCCCTCCTGTCTGCATGCTGCAGGCCACGGAGGGGTGAGGATGTGTGAGAGGGGCCTGTGTGGTGCAGGGCGCGGCAGAGGCTGCGGGCCCGAGGAGTGGCCTCCTAAAGGAGGCTCTGGACACCTGCCCCCCTCGGTCACCCCAGCATCACGTCCAGGAAGACGAAACCAGTGATGCTGTCCCGTCAGAAGCTGACTTCCCGTCTCTCTTCACTTCACCTCAAGGGGGCGCTAAACGTGCACAGAGGACCTGCCGGTGGTGACCTCAGGAGACCCCGCCCCGCCTGGGGCCTCCCGGGGTCGCCTGTGTGCCAGGTGCTTAGGTCAGACGTCCAAGCCCAGAAGTGGTTCCCTGTCACTCTCCCTGAGTGCGGAGGCCAAGAGGCAGGCGCTGCAGCCTGGACCCGTTCTTGGAAAGGACGGAGACGTGGACAAGAACAGGAAGAGGAGGGGACACTCAGGACTTGGGCCGTGTCACTCCCCCTTCCAGGATCCGGATGATAAGTTCACCTCCCCCCACAGGAGCCACGCCCCCCACCTGGCCCCATCAACTTCCTCCTTAATTAAATAATTAAGTTGAAAGTCAGAACTGCAGAGAGAAGCAGAGACGGGGTGAGAGAAACGGTCCATGTGCTGATTCACTCCCCACTGGCCTAGGCCGGGCCGAAGCCAGGCCCCTGGGACTCCGGCCAGGTCTCCCACGTGGGTGGCAGGGCTCAAGCACGTGGGCCATCTCCTGCGGCCTTCCCAGACGTGTTAGCAGGGAGCTGGACTGGAAGTGGAGCAGCCGGGACTAGAACCTGAATTCAGGGATGCCTGAACTGCAGGTGGCTTAACCCACTGCCCCACAATGCTGGCCCCTCAACTTCCTCCTGAGCCCGGCCTCGGCCTCAGAGAGCAGCTAACAGTGCACAAAGTCCCGCCCTGGGGCTGTGCCAGGAACTACGCCTTCGTCAGAGAAGGGGAGCGGGGGAGACGAGAGCGGAGTGCTTCCGGGCTGGGGCTGGGGCTGACGCTCAGCGCAGGAGTCAGCGCAGTGACCAACACAGCTTCAGGAGGACACAGCCACGGCCACGGTCACTTCAGCACAGCGTGACGGCGCTCTCAGCCTCCCTGCAGCCACGGAGGACCGACCCCACCGACAGAGAGGAGCCCCGGCACGGTCAGGGCAACCGAGCTCACCAGCGGATGTGTGTGCAAAGGGCTCCTGCGTCCAGCCCTCGCTGAGCAGCCTGCACGACGGCTCACCCCAGGACACACTGCCCCTCACGTCCTCGGCCAGGACACGCCGGGGGCAGGCACTGCCAGGAGACGCCCAGGGCAGGCACTGCCACGCTTCCGTGGAGAAGCCCCACTGCTCCCTCTGCTCCTGCAGGCTTACCGCTTCTGAGAAGGCTGCATCAAAGCTGCCACTTTGTCGTCGTAGAACTTCTTCATGGCAAATCTGTCGAGGGCCTGGTCGGCACTGGGGACGCAGAGAGAGACGGACAGTGTGTCAGCGTGGGGGGCTCGGCCTGTGGCTCCGCGGCACAGGACACGGGTCCCGGGGCCGCCCGGGGCGCCCAGGCCCGAGGCAGGGTCGTCCTTGCTGCGTCCGTCTACACTGCCTCCCGGCACGTCTCACTGCATCCCCCCGCAGGCACTGCCCAGGCCGCCTGCGGGTCTGTTCTCTGGGACACGGGCACCCGGTCTACGGGTGTGACACACACTCGTGCCACACGCTCAGCTCTCAGGGAAGAGCTGGCCGAGGCTCCGGCAGGCGGCGGCAGGGCTGGCACCCACACTGTCCCATGGCCACCCCGGCCCCCCGACCAGGCGGCCAGCACAAGTGGGCTCTGTGAGATGAGTGGTGGAGCCAAGTCTGGGGACCACGAGGATGGGGGTGGGGACAATCAGCGCACAGCCACACATCCCACAGGGTGAGCTCTGATGCTCAGTGAGGAGCAGACTGAGTGGACACGTCGTCGGCCCCGGCGCCACAGGACGATGGCTGTCTCTACAGGGGGTGCAGGTGACCCTCTTCCCTCAACTGAGCTCGCGCGGAACCCAGCTCCACGATGCCTGCACTTGGCTTCCGACAGAACCTTCCGGAAACCCCACAGTGGGCACTCGGGGGTTCTCCTGATCTGACTTTGATGCACATCGTGAGTGTGGGTGTGGACATGTTAACAGTCCAGGTTTCTTATGCAACCGCTGCCTGGCCTAGCTGACGGGGGTGCGTGCCCTCAGGAAGGACTCCCACAGGGACTGGGTTCACCGGGAAGGGAGGTGGGGACAGGCAGCGCCGGAGGGGACGTGCCAGATGGCCCAGCACGGTGCTCGTCTGCTTCAATGAGCTGCTGGCACCATCGCAAACACAAGCGTCCCGTCCAACTCTGAACACCGACGAACTCGGCAAGCGGGTCTGCCGAGGCGGCGAGTCGGCTCGGGTCCACTAGCGAGGGCCCAGCGTGCGTCCCCGGGAAGTGCCTGTTTTACTGAGCGCTGGCCGCCGCGCCCGGCACGGACAGGTCTGCAGCTGACGGTGTCGGTCTCGGCTCCTCCTCTATCAGCTCTCGCTTGGTCGGTGCTGACCCAGAAGGTGCCTCTCCCTGGGTGACCGCCGCTGCAGCGTGTGACAAAGGCCTCACAGTGGATATTCCCGGGGGACGTGGTGGGAATCGTCTGGCACGCGGACATGAGCGTGTGTGTGTCACGGCCAGCTTTCGAGTGCGGAATACTCGGAGGCAAGGATATTCTAAGGAAAACCCGGAAGCAACACAGCCCCCGGGGGCTCCCCTGCAGCCCCTACCGCAGAGACCGCGGTCAGGGCGGCCCCGAGCACATGGGGACAGTGGGGTGGCAAGGCCGTGCTTTGATGCCTGAAGCCTGCATCCCATCCTGGTCCACTCCCCAAACGCCAGGGCCAAGGGCGTGGTTCACTGATTCAGGCACAGCCTGCCAGTGGGGCTAGTCCAGGGCCAGCCAGGCTCAACACCAGCCTCTCCACCTCTCCAGGGCTGCGCCGAGCGATGGCGGTGGCCGGGCGCGGCGTTGGGCACACACAGGCTGATTCTCGCCAAAGCAGCTGGGACGCGGCTCAGGGGCCCAGGTTCCCTCCCTGGCCGGCACCAGCTCCCCAGCGCGGGAAGTCACAGCCTGCTCCTCGGTGAGGGAACGGACGGGGGCCCTCGGTGACAGTGAATGGGCTTCTCTCCGCTCCGAGGGGGAGGCTCAGGCCTCACAAAGCCGCCATTGAGAGGACGGGGCGGGCGCCAGGGTCGAGCCCACAGAGAACAAACACTCTCTTCTAAGCCGGCTGTCGGCACGAGGGCAGAGCTGCACTCTGCAAAGTGTACCGGGGTGCACAGCGGCCGCCTGGCGCCAGCAGGGTTGCCACGGCGGCTGTGCCCAGCAGGCCTGGCGGAGGGCACCCTGGGGGCAACTCCAAAGTCCCCACGACTTCCTCCTGACTCAGCGAGCAAGCGCCCAGCCCCCCTGAGCCTCAGCCCCACAGCCGTCAGGACCGGGGAAAGGGAAGACGCCGAGGACATAGCTGTGAGCCTGAGTGCTGAGCCGGCGGCACTCGGCCCCACGAGACAGCTCCGCCCCTGCCCACAGCCACAGGATCACTCCCAGTCCTGACAGCGAGCTGAGCTGTCTCCCCACGGGGTCGCAGCATCCACCATGCACGGCCACCCCACCAGGAAAAGGTCTCTCCCATCAGTGGAAACCCTTGGGGGACAAGGACACAGGTCGGTGTCCAGGAAGGCTCCAGCTGCCCCCAGGGCGCCCCACAGCGGCAAGGGGATCCCCCGTCCTACCTGGCCGAGACGTTGGTGAAGTGCATGTAGGACGAGATGACCACTCCTATGCGACCTGTGCCACCCTGCAGGAGACAGGAGAAGAACTCAGGGTCCCTGGAATCCCAGGACGGAGGCGCAGGACAGAATGGCAGAGTCCGCTGAGGTTGGACCTGTGTCACGCCACGTTCCAGAGCTGTCCCAGGGGAGCCAGTGCAGCCCCCATGGCCTGCAGCGCCCCCAGGTAACAGGGGCGTCTGCGGAAGCCCCCGGGGCAGACGCACGTGCCTGCCAATTAGGCCTCAAGAAGCTGCAGCCACCAGTGTGACTCAATTATCTGGTGGGACAGGCGTGAGGGCCCTTCCCGGGACAGCACCAGGGCCCAGGGAGTCCAGTCCCGGCGGACAGTCTGGACGAGGAGCCGCCCTAAACCCAGCCACAGGCACACGCAGCCCCGTACTCAAGCCAGCAGTGCCGCCCTCAGAGGAAGGGGCAGCTGCACGGCCACCCTCACCAGAGCCACAGACCACAGCCTTCCGGAACGTTCTGCCATGACCACAGCAGCCGAGGACGACCTCAGCACACCACCTGCTTGCCCACAACCTGGGAGCCGAGCGTGGTTTCCATGATAAACCCATGAAGAGAGACCACAAAAGAGGAAGATTCCGTGGCCTGAGAAAAGGCTACGAGGTTCACACGTCAGCGCTGGTCCACACAGTCTGGCCGAGGAACGAGCCGCCCGGGACGGGCACACCTGTGGCGGCTTCCCCCGCTGCGCCAGCCACGTCCACGGCTCCGGCTGGGAGCACGGAGCAGACACTGAGAGTTCTCCAGGGAGCGACAGCAGGCGGGTCAGCCAGACACGCGGAGCACGGCGCGGAGCCGGCACGGCGGGCGGCGGAACGCGTCTCCACAGCCTGAGACTGCCAGCTCCCCGCCTTCCTTCCCAGCCACGCGGTGCGGAGCCGTGAGTCAGTCACGGGGAGCCTGGGAACCCACAGACGAGCAGATGCAGCAGCAGCTCCTCAGCCACTGCTCCAACAACAAGTCAAGGACGTTTAAAAGCATCTCGAGACCAATCGAGATGGAACCGCAACATCCCAACATTTAAGGGACATGGCAGAAGCAGCTCTAAGAGGGAAACTTATAGCCACGAATGCCTGCATTGAGAAAGAAAAACCGGCCGGCGCCACGGCTCACTAGGCTAATTCTCTGCCTGTGGCACCAGCACACCGGGTTCTAGTCCCGGTTGCCCCTCTTCCAGGCCAGCTCTCTGCTGTGGCCCCGGAGGGCAGTGGAGGATGGCCCAAGTGCTTGGGCCCTGCACCCCATGGGAGACCAGGAGAAGCACCTGGCTCCTGGCTCGGATCAGTATGGTGCGCCAGCCGCAGTGCGCCGACTGCGGCGGCCATTGGAGGGTGAACCAACAGAAAAAGGAAGACCTTTCTCTCTGTCTCTCTCTTTCTCTCTCTCACTGTCTAACTGCAGAAAGAGAGAAAGAGAGAAAGAAAGAAAGAGAAAGAAAGAGAAAGAAATGGGTTCTCAAAAATGATAGAAAAAAGAGAGAGAAAAGAAAGAAAAGAAAGAAAAGAAAGGAAGGAAGGAAGGAAGGAAGGAAGGAAGGAAGACAGACCTTGGGGCTGGCACTGTGGCATAGTGGGAAAGCTGCTGCCTGCAGTGCCAGTATCCATATGGGTGCCAGTTTGAGTCCCAGCTGCTCCACTTCCAATCCAGCTCTCAGCTATGGCCTGGGAAAGCAGTGGAGGATGGCCCAAGTCCTTGGATCCCTGTACCCGCATGGGAGACCCGGAAGAAGCTCCTGGCTCCTGGCTTCAGATCAACGCAGCTCCAGCCATAGCGGCCATCTGGGGAGTGAACCAGCGGATGGGAGACCTCTCTCTCTCTGTCTCTGCTTCCTTCTCTCTCTATATAACTTTGACCTTCAGATAAATAAATCTTTAAAAAAAAAAAAGAACCTCAAACAACTTACATTATACCTTGAGCAACTAAAAAAAAAAGAATAACCTAGCACCGAAGTTAGCCTAAAGAAACAAGTAACAAGGATCAGAGCAGAAATAAACAGAGCAGAGACTAGAAAATATCAACACAATGAAGACTTGTTTAGGAAAAGATTAAACAAGGGGTGGGCATCTGGCCTGGCATGGGACAGCCACGTGCCACACCAGGTGCCTGGGTTCAGATCCCGGCTCAGCCGCTGACTCCAGCTCCCTGTCCTGTTCATGCACACCCTGGAAGGCAGGAGGTCATGGCTCCAGTACCAGGGGACTCGGATTCTCAGCTCCTGGCTTTGGCCTGGGCCAGCTTGAGCTGTGGTGGACATCTGGGGAGTAAACCAGCAGGCAAGACACAGCTCTGTCTTTCTGCCTTTAAAATAAAGAATTTTTATTTAAATGCTTAAAGATAAACAAAATCAACAAACCTTAGCTAAACTAGCCAAGAAGAGAGAAGACTCGAACAAATAAAATCAGAAGTGAAGGAGAGCCCAGGTGATGCCACAGAGACACAGGGGACGGAGGAGGACCACCAGAAACACAAGCCGGATGAGCAAGACGAGACGGCTAAATCCCTGCCCAGACTGCATCCCAGAGAGCCTGAGCAGACCCGCGTGGAGCGAGGAGACGGACACAGAGGAGCCCAGCCAGAGGACCAAGCGCTTAAAGGAGAACCGTGCCGATGCTTCTCAGACCTCCCAAAACACCCGGGAGGCAGCAGCGTCTCCAAAGCCATCTCCCAGTGGACTCTGATCGCTGAGGTCTGTGCGGAAGAGCCCGAGGGCGGCAGCTAAGGCCACACAGGCCACGGTTCTGCCAGACGGCAGCTGCTGGAAGCGGCCGGGGGCCACACAGGCCACGGTCCTGCCAGACGGCAGCTGGTGGAAGCGGCCGGGGGCGTCCACACACAAAGCGGGTGGCCCTGCTTCAGCCAGACCTCACAGCTGAGCTGCACGGATTTTTCCACAAAGTGACTCTTGGTTCTCAGGTTGTGGGAAGGCTCAGGGGCAGGGGTCTCTCAGGGCAAGCAAGGCCCTGCTAAACCCCAACAGTCCTGGTCTGACCTTAACACGAGTCACAGAGCCACTGACTGCATAATGTAGACTCAGAAACAAAGGGTGTCATGGGCATGAAACCCCCAAAGAACCCTTGTCCGTTTCTGGCCAATCAGCATCCAGGACCACCCCCCACGCGCCTGGTACCAAACAGGAGAAGGGGGCACAGCACAACCCCGGCCCGCCCCTGCCCGAACAGTTCCTGGCACGCATTCTGCAGAGCAGGCAGATTTCGGCCAAGGTCAGCAGTTTCACCCCCACGGCGAGGACGACGATGAACTTCTGTTAACGTCCACGTCAGCAATCTCAGGCTAAAAGGGGGCTTATCTCCCCTGCACATTTTTAAGTGTTTCCAAGTAGGTTTCCGTGACACCAGCACAGTGGGAGCCACAGGCAAAGCACCGTGGGAAAGACTCGCCGTGCTCCCGACACACAGAGAGCCCAGGGCTGCCGGGGGAGGCGGCCGTCCACGCGCCTGACTTCGGCAGCACCTGGGGTGAGCGGCGAGAGGGAAGGCGGGCTGGGGGCGCTGCCTCCGACCAGCAGCCCAGGGGCCTGTGGCACACAGCGGCAGCCCTGTGCTGTGCCGGGTGCTGCGGCCCGGTCAGCCGAGCTCAGGTGCAGTGAGCGGCAGCAGCAGGCGCTGGCGGGCTCCCCGGGCTGAGCCCGAGGCCACAGCTCGGGGAAGCCGACGAGCGCTGTGTTGTGAAGGGGCTCTCTCCCACGGCCTCTGCCTCTCACAGGGAAGCACAGACATGGCCGGCGGCTCCCTGATTCAACAGAACACACGAAACAGCTCCAGTGTCTGGCAAATGCTCCCAGGAACGCGACCAAGCTGGACGTGAGAAAGGGGACAAGGCCAGAGGGAAGCGAGTGACCCCTGGAGCCCCGAGGACACCTCTCCGAGTGCAGCAGCCCCCCCGTCCTCTGCAGCAGCCCAGCTGCCTGCAACCCCATGTGCTCCACGGGACGGGAGCGCAGGACCCCGTGGTTCCTCGTGCAGCTCTGCTCATCTGAGTGTGGAAAACACTTCCCTGTTGAACAGTCAGCATTTCCCGGATGTTGGGAGGGGCCTAGGAGGGCAGGTGCGGGGCATGCAAAGCAGGGGACAGCAGCCCCACCCCACCGGCTGCTACCCCTCCCCAGGGACCCCTCCTCGCTCCCTCCATCAGGGCGTCTGGGGGAGCGCTGTGCTCCTACAGCAAATGTTTTTCGTGGGACAGGCAAGTCCCCCACGCTGCCCTTCCAGCCCCTTTCGACACCAGTCAATTCTGAGGAATCAGGGGCGGCACAGGCAGAGGCTAAAAACAAGCCCCTGGCAGCTGAGGAACCGGGAATTCAGAGGAACCACCCCAGGAGGAGGTAGCACCGGCGGCCAGCAGCACCCAGGGGCGATGCCCACAGGCACCTGCGCCCAGGCTGCTGCTGGTGGACACCAGCGCCACTGAGGCTGCCGGGCGCGGACCCCACAGCTGGCACCAGCTGCCCTGCGGGGCCGCACAGCCCACGCCTCTGCAACAGCGTCCACGGATCAGCGTAACTGAGGGCAGACAGCCCCACGCACCACACCCCCAAAGTGCCTTTCTCTCGGTAACAGCCGGCTCTCCGTGAGGAGCAGACACAGGTGAAAACCAAAGGACTCAGGCCGCCAGGTCCCTCCATAAGCCCCAGGAGCCTCGGCCCTCACTTCCAAAGCCAAACTGCAGCCTCGGGACTCCCCCAGCCACCCTTCTGGTTTCCAGGGACAGTGGGAAACCCTGATCGCAGAGCCACTTGGAGCTCCTGCCCACGAGACCAGCACCGACCTCCGAATCCCTTCCTCCAGCTGCCGACACCAGGCAGCCCCCAGGCGTGGGGGTCAGGGATCACCCTGCAGTGGAGGACCCAGGCAGCCCCCAGGGTGTGGGGGGAGGGAGCTCACCCTGGCTGTGGAGGACCTGGGCAGTAGAGGACTCAGGCAGCCCCCAGGGCATGGAGGGGGAGCTCACCCTACAGTGGAGGACCTGGGCAGCCCCCAGGGCGTGGGGGCAGGGCTCACCCTGGCTGTGGAGGACCTGGACAGTAGAGGACTCAGGCAGCCCCCAGGGCGTGGAGGGGGAGCTCACCCTATAGTGGAGGACCTGGGCAGCCCCCAGGGTATGGGGGGGAGGGAGCTCACCCTGGCTGTGGAGGACCTGGGCAGTGGAGGACTCAGGCAGCCCCCAGGGCGTGGAGGGGGAGCTCACCCTACAGTGGAGGACCTGGGCAGCCCTGAGGGCACGGGGCGGGGCTCACCCTACAGTGGAGGACCTGGGCAGTGGAGGACCTGGGCAGTGGAGGACCTGGGCAGTGGAGGACCCGGGCAGCCCCCAGGGCGTGGGGGCAGGGCTCACCCTGGCTGTGGAGGACCTGGGCAGTAGAGGACTCAGGCAGCCCCCAGGGCGTGGAGGGGGAGCTCACCCTACAGTGGAGGACCTGGGCAGTGGAGGACCGGGTAGCCCCCAGGGCGTGGGGGCAGGGCTCACCCTGCAGTGGATGACCACCACGTGCTGGGGGTCGCTGTTGAGCCAGGACTCCTGCGCTTTGCAGATGGTGCACATCTTGTCCAGGGGCGGCGCGTGCAGCTCCGGCCATCCCACGTCCATGATCTGCAACGAGACACAGGAGCTCCCTGGAGCCTGCTGCGGCCGCGTCCAGGGAATCTCACCTGGGAGTAGAGGACCTCGCTGTGTGGCCCGTTTGTGCAACTTAGGGGCATGGTGGCCAGGCAGCCGTCCCGGAGGCAAACAACAATGTGTCCTGTGCCCACACAGGACATCCTCGCGTCCAGGGTCTACACTACTCCTGGGCAGCTGGGCGGACTTCCCAGGGCAGCAGGAAGGCTCGGCCCACACTGGCACCAAAATTCTGCTGGGCCGGAGGGTGGGGTGCGTGGTTATAGCCCACTCCCCAGGCAGGTGCCCGCTACACACCTGGAGTCAGTTTAGTGTACAGACAAGACCCCACCCCCACCAGGTGACGGGGACACAGCTCCGGGGAACCTAACGTCCACCCCAGCCCTGAAGCCACACTGGCCACAAGGTGGTGTCATCTCGCCTTGCATTTCCTTTTTCTAGGAAGGACAGAAGTCTACCTCGGCACAGAAGAGACGAGAAACAGTGCAGCACAGTTGGGAATGTCACGAAGCTGCCCGGAAGCAGCCGCACCGCGCGGGGTGACCACTGTGACTGATGAGCCCCTGGTCTCTTGTTCTAGGTGCTTCTACAGACCTGGGACTCCAAGCGCTGCGCTCACACTCCACACTTCCGCTGCCTGGCATTCCACAGGCAACTTACTGCGCAACCGCGGGCCAAGTGCCCCGTCCTGGGTGTCGGGGACCGGAGTGTTTCAGATCTGGGAGTCTGCCTGGATTCTGAAATATCTGCAAAGACTTTACCCACTGGTACCCTTCATTTGAAAATACAAAACCTGAAATGCTCTAAACCTGAAACCTTTTGGGCATCAAAAGTTTTGAGATCTGCATTTTGAACTCGGTGTTACTGGATTTAGGACGCTCAGCTGTGTTTCTTCATTGTAATGGCTGCAAAATATCCAGCGTGCAGGAGAGACCCTCACCTGTGCCATCACAGACACAGTCTGAGAGCCTCTGCCACTGACCACAACCATTGGTGGTGGACGGGGGTGGGGGGACCATACAGAGGTGACAGGAGGAAGGGCCCTGTGATGGGAACACTGTTCCCAGGTTGTGGTGGTTACACCAGTCAACACACGTGACGAAGTGCAAGAGTCACACACGTGTCACGGGTGACACCCCTGATGAATGGCAGACACACACACACACAGTCACGGTGTGCAAACCAGTCACATGAGAATGAGGTCTGCAGAGCCCTCCGCGCCGGCCTCCTGGTGTGGATATTTCACTGCAGGTTGATGTCCCTGATAAAAATGCTCAGAACCAGAGATGCTTCGTAGTTCAGACTTTTTCAGATTCTAGAATATCTGTATATACACCATGAGCCACAGCTAACCATGTTGTTCATCTGTGTTTCCTACACACCTTACACACATAGCCTGAAAACAATGCTACACGATACTTGTAACAATTTTATGAATGAAATAGTTTTGTGGTGTAGAACATTCTGCTTGTGGCACTGCTAGGGTTCAGAAAGTCTCCGAGGTCGGGGCTGGCATTGTGGTGTAGCGAGTTAAGGTGTCACCTGCAGTGCCACATCCCACAGGGGCGCTGGTTCCTGTCCTGGCTGCTCCACTTCCAGTCTAGCTCCCTGCCAACGGCCTGGGAGAAGCAGAGGAGGATGGCCCAAGGTTTAGGCCCCTGAACCCACGGGGGAGACCCAGATGAAGCTCCACTCCTGGCTGTGGTCTGGCCCAGTGCTGCCCGTTGCAGCTATCTGGAGACTGAACCAGCAGATGGCAGATCTCTCTCTCTCTCTCTCTCTCTCTCTCTCTCTCTCTCAAATAAATAAATAAATAAATAAATAAATAAATAAATAAAGTCTCAGGTGTTGAACCTTCTGGGATTCCGGATGTTCACATTTAAGGATGCTCAACTTGTATTAATTTTGCCCAATGCTACCATGGATGAGACTGAGGGAGGGGCACCTGGGGGCCCTCTACCATTTTCAAGGCTTCTATGAAGCTATAATTAAAGTAAATAAGAGTGGACACCGCTTGCCAAGTCCCCGTCCGCGAAGACCTGCACCCCAGCACTCCTGTGGCCGGGGAGCAGGCCTCGCTTACTGCACACGACCCAGACCACAGGGAAGCGCGGTCCATACCTTTGGGTTGAGCTTTGCAAGGTCATACCTCTTCTCCGAAAGGTTTAACACCTGTGGGGCGGGGGAGAAAGCGTTCAGACAAATCGCTGGCCCAGAGGGGAAAGCGAACGCTGCACTTGACGTGCTTCTGTCTGGCACACTGCGGACCGCAGTGGGGGCGGCGGGACGACCCTCACACGCACTCCACGCAGCGCCCTCCTCCACTGGCATTAACACGCCCTTACACAGCAAAGTTGCCAAGGCTCCATTTATTCTAACGGCTGCAAAATATTCACCTAAGGGCCCGCGTTGTGACACAGCGGTGGGGGCTGCACCGTGACCCCGCCATCCCACACTGGAGTGCTGGTTTGAGCCCCGGCTGCTCCACTTGCACTCCGGCTCCTTGCTAATGCACCTGGGGAGGAGCCGATGATGGTCCAAGTACGAGGGCCCCCGCCACCCACGTGGGAGGACCTGGATGGGGTTCCTGGCTCCTGGCTCCACCTCGGCCTGGCTCAACCTTGCTTGTTGCAGCCATATGGACAGTGAACCGGCTGATGGAAGACATCTCCCTCCCTTCCTCCCTCCCTTCCCCCACCCATTCTATCAAGTGAATGAATCTTTGTAAAATATTCAGAGAGAACACTAGGACACTGCAAAAGGCCTGGGGAAACAGAAGTAAAAGGTACATTGATTTTGGTACAAAAGTTCTGAAATCCATGCAAACGCAGGGCCTGAACAATGTTCTCAGAAAACGCCTTCAGGAAAAAACTGCACAGATTTAAAAAAATTCACACCAAAGTAAATTCTTTTAATTCTAGCTTCCATGAACTTTCTGAAGACGTGGGGGAAGCAGGGAGCAGGGAGCGGGGCCTGCCCTGGCCACCCCAAGTCTCCCGTAGGGACCCTGACTCAGCAGGCACAGCTCTGGTGCCCACCCCAGCGGCCTCCGGGACCTGCTCAGAGTGGCCCCGGCCCGCCCTGCCAGAATCCGAGACGCAGCTGCCGCCCTGGCAGGGCCCAGGAAGCTCCCCCAGCAGGAGAGGCAGTGCCCCAGAGTCCTCCATAAGTGGTGTGTGTTCAAGGCCGGCTTGCCTGTCTGCGACTGTCAGATGTCCAGAGAAACAGACCAGCCAGTCTGCGAGCCATCCTGCCGGGTCTGGGTGAGACACACATGCGGCTCTCTCCCAGGTTCCCAAAGCTCCCGGCCCAAACCCATAAAAGACCCCTGCGTGGTGACAGAGGAGGAGCTGCCCCCAGACCCAGTGGGTGCCATCCCAGGCCCCAGGCCCTCTGGGTGGTCTTTGGGGTAGGCAGCCAGGGAGCGGGCTGACTGGAGCAGGTCCTGCCGAGGGGCCCAGCTCCCCCGCTAAAGGAAGAAGCCCCCAAGGGAGGGAGCCCCATGAGAGGGGGGCCACTCCCCTATCCTCCACGGTCACAGAGGACTGGCTTCAGGGCAGGAGCAGGTGTGTGGGGCAGGGGGCCCGGAGGAGCCCAAGTCCGAAGGAGCTCCACCCCACCTCCGCAGCCCCAGCCCAGTCCTGGGAGAGACTGATAAGGCTGACAATGGCCTCCTTGTTGGCTCAGGGCTGCAGATAAGGGAGAAGGAGGAACGGAGAGGGTGCCAGCAGGGAGCAAGAAGAGACCGGAGCGCTGGCACACTGGCACGCTGGCACACTGGCACGAAGAAAGTGATGATCAAAGGAGGGAGACCCATGAGAGGCTCCCCCTCCAAGGCCAACCCAGCTATCACCTGGCCGGGCAGCCCCTGGTTTCTTGGCCACCCCACGCTTTGTCTTGCCCATTCAAGCAGGGTCAGTTTGCTCTTTGGTACCAGGGTTGCTGTGGGGGACCAGCAGGGGGTGGCTTGTGTAGGGGGCTGCAGGGTGGAGGCGGGGCCCTCGGCTGTGGGGTACAGCTCAGCCGCGAGGGGTCTGCTCATGTCCGGCCGTCATGCCCGGCCCCCCAGCTGGTGTAGGGGCTGTGGGGTACAGCTCAGTCGCGAGAGGCCCACCCGTGTCCGGCCGTCACACCCGGCCCCCTGGCTGGTGTAGGGGCTGCGGGGTGGAGGCGGGGCCCTTGGCTGTGGGGTACAGCTCGGCCACGAGGGGCCCACCCGTGTCTGGCCGTCACACCCGGCCCCCCAGCTGGTGTAGGGGGCTGTGGGGTACAGCTCAGCCGTGAGGGGTCTGCCTGTGTCCGGCCGTCACACCCGGCCCCCTGGCTGGTGTAGGGGCTGTGGGGTGGAGGCGGGGCCCTCGGCTGTGGGGTACAGCTCGGCCACGAGGGGCCTGCCCGTGTCTGGCCGTCACACCCGGCCCCCTGGCTGGTGTAGGGGCTGTGGGGTGGAAGCGGGGCCCTGGGCTGTGGGGTACAGCTCAGCCACGAGGGGCCTGCCCGTGTCTGGCCGTCACAGCCGGCCCTCATCGCTCACCAGGTAGTTGTCGCCGTGCTTGGACTTGAGCATCCGCGTGACCTCCTGCAGGTGGCGCAGGTAGGACTCCTCGCAGCCACCAGCGGGGAATGACACGGCGATGATGCGCTCCGTGATGTAGGTGAGGTCCAGCTCATGCCCGTCCTCCATGGCGGGGCTCAGGGCCGCGGGCCTGCGAGGGAGAGGCCGACAGGTCAGCCAGCAGGACAGGAGGGCCGGGACAGGGCAGGGCACAGCTACTGACCCTCACGGGTCTCACGCCAGGCGACCTGGCTGCACTTCTCCAGGAGGGTGCGGATCCATCCGGGCACGACCGGGCGCTGCAAGCTGCCAGCAGGATGAGCAGGGAAGGGGGCCCTGCAGCAGTGACACGGGGCTGGGGCACGCTGGGCCTGGGCGCAGCGAGGGCAGGCCTCTGCAGCAGTGACACGGGGCTTGGGCACGCTGGGCCCTGGATGCAGCAAGGGCAGGCCTGGCGGGAAGGGGTGGCTCAGAGGCTGGGATCCCGGGGAGGGTGAGCCTCACCCCGTTCCAAGTATCGGAGTCAGCATGAGGCGTTTGGAAAGCAGAGGCCAAGGCTGCCCATCAACAGCAAGCAGACCCTCCGGGCTGTGTGCAGCGGGGTAGGCGTGGGGGGTCACAGGGAACCTTCGGGTGCTGGGAGGGGAGGGGCCGGGATGGGGAGGAGGGCGGGGCTCCACACTTCGGGGCTCGGTGGCCTCTGCTGGGCCACACGCGGCCAAACCCCTGCACCCAGGACACAGGTGCCCAAGCAGGCGTCCAGGTGTGAGATGCACACACGGGAAGGGTTGGGGCAGGAGCAGCTGAGTCCCGCCCAGCCGGCAGGACTGGAGGATGGGGTGAGGCTGGCTGAGGCCTGGAGTCCCTGGGGACGGCTCCGCAGCTTCTCCCCAGTCACTGGTGCCCTCAGGAAGGCCTTGAAGGCCCTCGAGAGAGAGGGCTGGGGAATGGGAGAGGGTCCCGGGAAGCAAGGCCCCGGGAAGCCCAACAGGCGGCCCAGGAGGTGAGGAGGGGCCGGCAGGCGTGCAGGAGGCGCTTCCTGCACATGGAGGTGAGCCACCGGCTGCGACTTCCTTTTTACTCATCCTATCGTGTGTGTGTGTCTGCGAGTGTGTGTCTGCATGTGTGTATCTGCATGTATGTGTGTGTGTCTGCGTGTATGTGTGCGTCTGCGTGTATGTGTGCGTCTGCATGTGTGTGTGTCTGCATGTGTGTATCTGCGTGTGTGCACCTGCGTGTATGTGTGCATCTGCGTGTGTGCGTGCGTCTGCGTGTATGTGTGCATCTGCGTATGTGTCTGTGTGTGTGCGTCTGCATGTATGTGTGCATCTGCGTGTGTGTGTCTGTGTGTATGTGTGCACCTGCGTGTGTGTGTCTGAGTGTGTGTGTGTCTGCATGTGTATGTGGGCACATGTGCATGGTCTGTGTGTGTGTGGTCTGCGTGTGTATGTCTGTGTGCGTGTGTGTGTGTGCATGGTCTGTGTGTGTGTGCACGTGTGTGTCCTCTCTTTTTCCATTTTGGAAAAATCTGAAACCTAACAAACAGTTTACCAAACACCCACGCATCCGTCACCCAACTGCGGTATTCCCAGCACACGGCCACGCTGATCTGTCAGGGACCCCGTGACCTCTCCACCCCCGTGACCTCACAGAGGCAACCCCAGGCCCTGGTGTTTCATTCAGAAATCCTGGGGTCAGGTCTCCACTGGGGGCGCCCACATCCAAGGCCCAGAGCCTGGCTGGAGTCCGGGCTCCCGGCTCCTGATCCACTTCCTGCTGGACCACCGGGAGGCAGCAGGCGACGGCCGAGGAACCAGGTCCCCCCCACCACGTGCCAGGCCTGGGTGGAGTCTGGGCTCCCGGCTTCCGCCCGGCCCGGCTCTGGCTGCCGTGGCATTGGGGAGGAATCACTGGGAGTCCTCCCTCGGTCCGCCTTCCGAGTAAAGTAACATTTTTAAAAGATCTTTAAAAAGGAACACTGCAGGACTGATTTCAAAGATAAAAACACTTTCTGACTGAAATACCTGCAATGCCATTTTCACACTTGAAAAAGAATTAACAGCAACACCAGTAATCTGAAAGCGGGGTAGTTTTTGAGAGTTGACTTGTTCAAATAAGGATCTGAGCAGTTGCCAGATTATTTTTTCTTTACTTTCATCATCAGACACAGTCACTAACGAATTTTAATTACTCTTTAAAAAAAAAGATTTATTTTATTTATTTGAAAGACAGAGTTACAGAGAGAGGTAGAGCCAAAGAGAGCCAGAGAGAGAGAGAGAGAGAGAGAGAGGGAGGTCGGTCGGTCTTCCATCTGCTGGTTCATTCCCCAATTGGCCGCAACGTCCAGAGCTGAGCTGATCCAAAGCCAGGAGCTGGGAGCTTCTTCCAGGTCTCCCATGCGGGTGCAGGGGCCCAAGCACTTGGGCATCTTCTACTGCTCAGAAGAGGAATAGCTGGGACTCGAACCAGTGCCCATATGGGATGCTGGTGCTGCAGGCTGGGGCTTTAACCCACTGAGCCGCAGCGCCAGCCCCTTAATTACTTTTTAAAAAGCAAATCTGGGGCTGGCGCTGTGGCGTAGCGGGTAAAGCTGCCATGTACAGAGTTGTCATCCCACATGGGCACTAGTTCAAATCCACACTGCTCCTCTTCCAATCCAGCTCCTGCTAATGGCCTGGGAGAAGCAGTGAAAGATGACCTAAGCGCTCGAATCACTGCCGCCCACGTGGGAGACACGGGTGAAGCTCCTGGCTTCTGCCCCGCTCAGCCCATTGTGGCTACCTGGGGAGTGAACCAGCAGATGGAAGATCTCTCTCTCTCTCTCTTGCTCTCTTGCTCTCTTTCAAATAAATAAAATATTTTTTAAAAGAGCCCTACAAGAAGAATGAACTCTAATCAGCTCCGTTCCAGTGTAAATCTTCACAAATCTTGTAAAAAAGTGTCAATAAAAATGTCAAAAAAATCAGAACTTAAAAAAAAAAAACATCTTCGGAAGACTGATGTGAAGCAATGATAACGCGGCCCTCGGCCATCCCAGGATCCGGCCATGGGTCTCCAGCCTCTGGCACCTGCTCGGACGGAGCTGCCCCTCCTCCGCCACCATGGTTGTGGGACCCCCGTAGGTCACCTGCACAATGGGCCCCAGCACCACAGCACTCAGAAAACACGTGCGAGCCTCCCACGCGTCGCCTCCGAGTACCGTTTTCAAGTTCCCCCGTGGGACTCGGCCCACTGCCCTCCAGACACTCCGGACACTCACCGCAACGGCTGGTCACCGGAGAGAGCAGCGGACGGCGCGGAGTTCCGGGGGGCCTGCAATTGCAGAAGACACAGGTCACCTGCACGTCCCCTCCCCCACGCTGTCCCCAGCTCATCATGAACAGCGAGCCAATCACTGTCACCACTGGGCTCCGAAACACCAGGGTACTTCAGGTCACCACGGGACACGGCCCCACGGGCCAGCAGCAGGACGGGGCTTCCACGGGGCACCACGGGCAAGGCCGACACGGGACACGTGCACGGCGCTGCTCTCACTGACGTGTGCCCTCTGGGAATCTCAGTTCTACCGACTGCTCTAGGACCCCGTCCAGCAGGCGCGTCTCGGACCCTGCAGTCAGCCCTCGGCTCGCACAGGCTCTGCTCCCAAGGATTCAGTCCCCGGGGATGGAAGACGCTCAGGAAAGCACTAGGCTGTGGCTGACACGAACCCTGCGGCCGGGTCTGGGATGGCCCTGCCTCTACCAGACGGGCCCCAGCCCTTCCACTGGGAGGGGCAGGCCACGGGGAGGACACGTGGGCTGCAGGCAGCGAGGACATCACAGAAGGGATCTGAGCATGCGCGGCGCTCGGTGTCTGTGGGGGTCTCAGAACCAGCCCCTGTAGAGACAAAACTCTCATTGTACTTGTGTGTGTGCACATGGGTGTGTGTGTGCATACGGTGTGTGCACATGAGGGTCTGAGTGCGCATGTGTGTCCACCTGTGTGTGCATATGGATGTGTGTACATGTGTTTGTGAGTGCCTTTGTGTGCACGTGTGTGCCTGGATGTGTGCATGCACTTGTCTGTATATTTGGTATGTGTGCATGTGGGTGTGTGTGCTTTCACATGTGAGTGCACATGAGGGTCTGAGTGTGCACGTGTGTGCCTGGATGTGTGCATGCACTTGTCTGTATATTTGGTATGTGTGCATGTGGGTGTGTGTGCTTTCACATGTGAGTGCACACGAGGGTCTGAGTGCGTATGTGTGTCCACCTGTGTGTGGATATGGATGTGTGTACATGTGTTTGTGAGTGCCTTTGTGTGCATGTGTGTGCCTGGATGTGTGCATGCACTTGTCTGTATATTTGGTATGTGTGCACATGGGTGTGTGTGCTTTCACATATGTGTGCATGTCGCTCCCCCTCTTCGTGGAGGAACGACACTAAACCCTGCCTAGGCTTCATATCCGAGTCACGGCACCATTATGTCGCTCCCCGTCTTCGTGGAGGAACGACACAGGACCCTGCGCTGTTCTTTTGTCTGCTCGGCCCTCCCCGGGTTTGCTGCTGGTTCTTCCCGGGTTGGCTACCGTCCCTTCCACCTCCGTGGAAGGGCGGTTCCCCCTGCCACATTCCCCACTTCCGCGGGGGAGCGGCACACCACCGGCCGGCTCTCTCGGGGGCTGCACAGGTGTTCCCCTTAGATGTTCCTGGTGCATGTTGTCTCTCTCCTCCTTTATAGTCCTCTTCCACCAATCCCAACTCGGCTGCCCACACGCCGAGTACGCTGCTCTCCAATCAGGAGCAGGTCCTGCAGCTTGTTGGTTGAACTGGAGGCAGCTGTGTAGAAGCTGTTTCCTCCTCTCCCAGCGCCATATTGTGGGAGAGCAGATGCATAGAATAAGTCTTAATTCCAGTAACTTAGTCTAGTCCGAGTTGCTCCCCACATGTGCACACGAGGGTCTGAGTGTGCGTGTGTGTGCCTGGACGTGTGCATGCACTTGTCTGTATATTTGTATGTGTGCACGTGGGTCTGTGTGCTTTCACATGTGAGAGCACACGAGGGTCTGAGTGTGTGTGTGTGTGCCTGGACGTGTGCATGCACTTGTCTGCATATTTGTATGTGTGCACGTGGGTGTGGTTATGTTCCCCTCCCACGCCAAGCTATGCACACACACTTTCAGAGATGCACCCGCACACCAGAAGTGAGGACATCAGGCTCAGAGAGGGGAAGGTCTCACAGAGGCCGGGGCGGGGGGGGCAGCCCACACGCGCCCTTCCCAGCACCCGATGCCCGTCCTGACCCACGTCCGGTGACCCAGTGACGCCGTGTGCAGGCGCCCAGAGCCTTCCTCGGGGCAGAGGCCTCAGAACTCCCGCCGGCTCCCCGACTGACACCGGCAGGCGGACACCCAGGGCTGCCCCCCAGGGCCCCTCAAGCAGGGGCTGCCCCCCTGGGCCCCTCAAGCAGGGGCTGCCCCCCTGGGCCCCCCTCAAGCAGGGGCTGCCCCCCTGGGCCCCTCAAGCAGGGGCTGCCCCCCTGGGCCCCTCAGTGCGAGAGGACAGAAATAAACTCTTGGGAGAGCTCAGGGGACGACGAGGCAGACATGAACACACAAGGCCTCCCACCAGCTCCAGAACCACAGAGAAACCCACCAGGCCTCCAGCGAGGCAGGGCCCTGACACCACAGACGCCCACCCGGGAGCCGGAAATCCAGGAGAAACCTACACCCAGGAGCAGGGAACCCATGGGGAACCGCCCCCTCCAGGAATGGGGAAACCACCCCGCCCCACCCCACCCCACCCCAGGAAGTGGACAAACGCAGAGAAGCCCACCTCAGGAACAGGAATTCATGGAGAAACCACCCCCCAGGTACAGGAAAACCACAGAGAAGCCCACCCCCGGGCCCTACGGAGGCAGGACCAGGGTGCACGCTCTCTCTTCCCCAGCAGGGGGGTCAGGGGCTGGGGCTGGGGGCCAGATAGCCACATCCACGGGTCAACCCACTCCCACCCACGTCCCCCAGGGAAGCCCCTGGCCACTTCTCTCCTTGGTCCTTCCCTGTGCAGAGGACAATTCAGGGCCCACCTCTCAGAGCCAGCCGGGGACTGGGGGGTGCTGCAGCCTGCGCGTGCTGCCCCTCCCTGTGCAGCCCAGCCTGCAGGCCCCTGAGGCTGCAGGGGCTCCCCGCTGGCTCCAAGGTCCTGAAGCTGGGCCCAGAATGGGCACAGCCCACATGAAAAGAACTCCCAATGATGACATTAGTTCTTTGTTCCTTATTGGAACGTCACAGATAACAATTTCAGAAACTGTTCTGAAAGCACTGGTGGAGGGGCCAGCACTGGGGCATTGTGGGTAAAGCCACCACCTGTGACGCCAGTTCAAATCCCAGCTGATCCACTTACAATCCAGCTCCCTACTAATGCACCTGGGAAAGCAGAAGACGGCCCAAGTGCTTAGGCCTCTGCACCCACAGCCTGGCCCAGCCCTGGCATTGCAACCATCTGGGGAGTGAACCAGCGGAGGGAAGACAGATCTCTCTCTCAAGTCTTCCTGTCAAACACATAAAGAATTCTTAGGGTCCGGCATTGTAGCAAAATGGGTAAAGCCTCCACCTGCGATGCTGACATCCTGTATGGGCAACAGTTCAAGTCCCTGCTGCTCCACTTCTGATTCAGCTCCCCGCTAATGTGCCTAGAAAGCAGTGGAGGATGGCCCAAGAGATTGGGCCCCTGCACCCATGTGGGAGACCTGGATGAAGCTCCTTGTTCCTGGTTTCCGCCTGGCCCAACCAGCCATTGCAGCCACTTGGGGAGTGAACCAGAAGATGGACGAACTCTCTTTCTCTCTCTCTCTCTCTCTCTCTCTCCCTCCCTCCCTCGCTCCCTCCCTCCCTTCCTCCCTCTCTCTCCCTCTCCCTCTCTCTTTCTCTCTACCTTCCCGTCAAATACATAAAGAATTCTTAGAAAGGAGGCAGGCAGCCAGGCGCTGGTGGGACATGAACCATGTCCACACCGCAGAGGATGCTGGTCAGTGTGTGAGGACAGCCAGGGGGTGAGGCGCGTGCGGCTCAGCTGTTTGAAGGACAGAACCTGCACACATGACCAGAGACGGACGAGGCTGGCTCCCGAGGGGTGCCGAAGTCACAGCCCAGAGCAGACAGCCCGGCGTGTGGCAGCAAGGCTCACAGAGTGAGAGCAGTGCACCCGCGGGAAGCTGTACAGCTGTGCACACACCCACGTGCACGAACACGGCAGGAAACAGGGCTGGCAGAGGCCACGCTGCCACGTGCAGCCACACACGTGGCCAGCCGCAGCCGGCTGAGGAGTGGTCGGCTTCTGCCTTGCACTGTTACGGGCTGTTTTTCTGATTTCTCTTCTCTCTACCAAGCACACAGATGAGTCCAGTGCCCAGCAAGGCCTCCAGGCCTCTCCTCACCACCCTCTGTCCTCCTCAGACCCCTCTCAGCAAGGTGGGCAAGCAAGGACAGCACCACAGCTGGGGCTCAGGGGCTGGGGGCTAGAGAGCTCCTGGCCCATTCGCAGACCCTCAAAAGCCAGCTCCGGCCAGCGCGGAGGACACATGGGTGTGGGGGGCTGAGTACAGCCCTGGGCCCGCTGCTCAGGGCCACCCTGGCCCCCACCCCTGCCGCCTTCCTCCCAGGCCCAGCCTGACCCCCACGGGTGGTTTCCGGTGGCTTCTCCCTTAGGACCCAGCCCCAGCCCCAGCCCCAGCCCCAGCCCCAGCCTCGGCCGTGCATCAAAATCCCTGAACCCACCATTTTCAGAGCTAAGCGACTGCAACCATCACAGTGTGGGAGAGCCAGGGCCTCGTTCTACCACTGTGAATGAACGAACAAACCCGGAGGTCAGCCCTGAGCCGCACTGCGCCTGGGCTCCAGCACAGCCCTGAACTCCAGTTTTCCCATCTGTAAAACGGGTGGCTGCGGGGCTCGGGTAACCCACACGAGTGGCTCTCAAGGGCCGGGCAGTAAGTTCAGAACACGGAATTTTAGGTCCAACCCAGATTCGATGTGGCACCCACCGCAGGGTACTCCCAGCAGACGCCCTGTGCAGTAACTGCCCCAGCCCGCACGCACATCCTCCATCCGACTGGGGCGGCTCCTCTCCCTTCCAGAACCACAGGTGGCCTGAGCATGCCCTCGGTGCTCCTGGGTCTCTGGCAAACCCGTCCTGCTCTGATGCCAGACCCCACACCAGATCAGACAGGTCCAGCTGCTCACTCTGCAGGGGCAGCCAGGACCCACCACCACCAGAACTCAGGCATCAGGGAACCAGGTGGGACCCTCGGGCTCTGCCCTGATGAGCAGTCAA